TATTATATCTCACCATATATATCAACGTATTGAGTTGCTGGTCCTTCATCTCTATTTAATACTTGTTTTTGTTTTTTATATTTCATTATTTCTAATGTTTCTCTAATATTTAAAGATATAAACTTCGAGGCTGAGCTAAAACTAAAGTTTTTTCCCATAATATTGTATGTTGGGTAGTTTTTACATGTTCGGCTATAGCTGACATTTCTATTTTATTATTTCTTATGTAACTTTTGTGTTCTTTCAATCTATATTTTAAGTTTCTTTTAGTTTGACCAATATAAACACTACCACATTCTATCTTGTATATACCTGTCTTATCTGTTAATTCTATTCTGTCTTTAACATTCCCTATCATACCTTTTATCTTATTTACTGGTTTGAAGATAGGGTAAAAATTCTGATACTTTTTAAATACTTTATATAATTGATTTGTTAAACCTGGAACGTAAAGTAAACTTAGAGTTTCTTTTTTGTTTTTTCATAAACAGATTTTAATGTGGTATTTTAAACTGAATTTGCATTTTTGTTAAACTTCTCAAATGCTTTGTCTACTATATTTGGATCAAATCCTCTGTCATTAGCTATATATACTTAATTAATAACAATTCGTTATTTAAATCTTCCTGTTTTGAACATATTTTGTAGCTCTATAAACATATGTATAAAATGCAGAAAAGATAATACATGCTACCATAGCATTGTTTCGAAATCTATGTCAGTTTGCCCCTCCCCCCAGTGGCACAGCGGTATGTCTGCAGACTTACAACGCTAGAATCCGGGTTTCGATACCCGTGGTGAGCACAGCACAGATAGCCCATTGTGTAGCTTTGTGCTTATTTACAAACAAACAATCTATGTCAGTTTGGAACAATAACATTTTTTGAGTCAGAAACATCAATGAACAATATTTATCATAATATGAGATCGGAAGCTTGTTAATATCTCAAAATAAAATTAGACTTTAAAAAAGTCAAGATCTAACTAATTTTCATGAATTATGAAAACTTAAAAGAGAGCTATGTATAAACATAAATGTATGTTCAAACAATATATGACTGTCTAGATTATATAATATGTTTTTGTTGTAAAATTGCACTTTATCATTTATAAACTAATTTCATTCGTATTATTATTACCTAATAAGTTTAATAGTTATAGTGTACATAAAGTGAAATTTGAAAAAATATGGAAATTTTTCGACAAATATTTAACATACATGTTTGAAAGTGTTATGACTTTAGTCTCATACGTATCATTACAAACTACTAATATATATATATATATATATATATTCATTTGTGCGTGTGTGTGTGTGTTACAAATATTTCAAATTCCAGACATTTACTTTCAAAACTATTCACCTTTTAATGAATTTCGTTTTGTGATATGCCTTCAGACTGGCAACAAACTTAAATATAGATCACGTCAAATGTGTTCAATCAGATAAGTGAGCACATGACCTTAGACTGATGTTATCTCTCAAATCCCATTGTAAAAGAAAGTTCGTTTGTTTCTGTATTGGTATGTTTAAACAAAAATCATTCAGAATTATGCCTAATCCATCACAAAACAATACTTGTGAAAGGTAAGAATAATTTAATATTTACATAGACTTTAAACTTTAGTGGAACAAATCAACTTACAAAGCTAAATATGGGATTTAAATACGTGTACTTTTCATGACGTATAGATGTTATATATAAATTATAGAAATTAATTAGCGACAAGTGTTTTACATATAAAACGTCGGAAAATACAAAAAATTATGCCATGCAAATTAAATATAGAAGCAAAAACTATAAACTAATGAATCATGGAAGTGTGTTATACATAAAGCGACGATAATTGTAAAGTATGTAAGGTAAATTATTGGTTATAAAATTTGTCTCATTCAAATAATGGATGATATTTATGATAAAACTGGTATATGAAATAATATTTTTACTTGTAAAAGCGACACAGCAGTTGTGTTAAAATGCCCTGGAACTATAGAAGCACTGCTCATAGTAACACTATCGGCTTTAAGTAATACTATCCTTAGAAAGACCTGCCCAGACTTTTGTAAAACGTATGTAAATGAAAACTATAAAGTAAGTGTCAACATGTGTAAAATGAAATATTTTGTCAAGAACTCATTTACTCTTATACATTATAAAAATAATAGTTATATTGGTAGAAGAATAGCATAAGAATATATATTTAATCCATAAAGTCAAACTAATGAAACAGCAAGATTGTATGTTAAATTATTGCATGAAATTTAGAGATGTATTCACGAAAAATCCGTCCTTTTCAGAAGTATACTATTCAAATAAAATACTGTTTGTACAAACTATGGTAACATTGTTCTTAATAGCATAATCCCCCTATATAACCTTAATGAGATCACCTGCTTATAGAAACAACATGCATCCACCTTTGTAAGATGTATGCAATATAAGTTTGATAAGGTTAAAATAGCAGATTTAATGTTTTACTTGAGAAGGGAAACTGTAATTTTGATAAGATAACAAAAAAAATAATTTAAAAAGGTGAATAGGGATCGTCAAAAAAGTACAGAAACAAGTTGAACCAATATGCAAAGATTATATTTTCAAGCTTACAACTAGGGATTCTAAACAAAATGTACAAACTAGGCTGGAAATATTGTCTGCATTATTTTCTCAAGCTACAAATCCCTATGTTGACTTCATGTCTACAGTACTTATCAATTTTAGTGGAGTCAAAATAGGGAATTGTTGCTTGTGAAAATAATATAGACACTATTTCAAGCCTGGTTTGTTTACTTTTTAGTGTCCCTAGTTGTAGGCTTGAAAATATAGTCTTTGCATTTTGATTTAACTGGCTTCTGTACTTTTTTGACAATCCCTATTTCCTTTTTTAAATTAACAATTTTTAATTATATTGTTTCTTAAGTTTTTATGTCCATTTATGGAGAATACATTTTAACCTAAATATATGCATATGCATTCAGTTGAATGTTACATGTTTTTTAACAGTTTACTGCTGTATTGGCTGTTTTTCCACTCAACCATTATTTACTAAGCCAGGTAGTTTTATTCCTGATATTTCGTGTAAACACGCGTTTAACAAGTGTCGAGTGTAAAGGAAGCCGCTCACCACAATATCGTATATATTATGTATTTAAGGCCACCTAAATCAACTTTCAATGAAAAATAATCAACTTTATAGATACTTCATGGACATTCACAGTGTTTCATATGTTATATCTGTCTAGGTTTGAGTGCAAAATACCCAGCCGATTTTGCTATAGGTTTGTGAAAAAAGAATAATAATAATATAATAATACTAATATACGCACTAACAATTTCAGCGAAGTACGAAAATCAGTAGAATAAATCACCATTGACAAGAGTAGAGAAA